AAATAGCTAAACCGCAAAACTTTTAAAGCGACCTACGTAAATTTTCGATTTTGAAATGTAATTCTAATATTTTTCACAATAAATTTTAAACAGTATTTTAAGATGCTTATTAACGTAAATATCTTATTGAATTATTTATCAATTTAATTTGTGATATTGATTAATTTATGGCATTCTTAATATGCCGTAAACGGCATAAACCAATCACAGAACCGTATTAACATCTTAACTCGTAAAGGACACCTCTCTTTTGAATGATTTTGTTTAACACAAAATTTGAAAACAATTACGTTCTTTTTTCGAAAATTTAATATTACCAATCGATTGGTCAGACAATTTTACATTGAGGAACATATTTTGCTTTCATTTTGCTTTTTATTTTCAGAAGATATAAAACTTTAAAAAAATTCGCTTGGTGCAAATTCGTACCCAGGTGTCTTTTACAGATTAAAAGTATTTAAAACAACGTTAAAATAATATCAAATCATGAATTACAGCTAAAAACTGAAGATTAAATACGAAAGTATAATTATAACAATTAAATACGATTATACGAAAATTTTGTCATAAATAGGTTCAAAATACAAAAAGTAACGATAAAAGTAACTGCAAATTTGTTACCCTTACCGAAAAACGTAAATAACTCCGTTATCAATCCGTTACCAAAAAAGTAACTGTAACGATAACGGCGTTACTTACAAGTAACAATCGAGTTACTTCCAATCCCTGTCTTCTACATATGTACTTTTCAGCCATTTATTAGTAAAAGTAGAACTTTTACGTAGACATAACACAGCATCAAGAACATCATATTTTAAGTAAGATCTTAATAAAACTGATAATTTGAAGTTTTAAATCTTTGAGATCTGTTATATCATATTGGCAATATTAATTTCTGTAATTACTAAAAAATCATGACTATATTTTTTGTCATAGAATCATAATAATTCATTACAACTATATAATTATATAGATAATTCAATACAATATACATACAATTATAAAGAAAAAGAGCATATTGTATTTGTTAATTAAATTAAACGCAAAGACATATTTCTTAAGAGCATTCTTAATTATTTATACATTCGGATATCTCACTTTTTGACTGAAATGTAAATATATCTTGAATTATTTTTAGCGTTAAAAGTTGGCAATAAATTCTTCGTTAATAGAATTAATACAATTGTAATAAATTTGATTCAACAGATTCTGGATCTTCCTATCTAAAAAAGTACATGTAAAGTCGATAACTCGCATTTCTCGAAATTGGATGTGGATAAATATAATTATTGGTTGTCTCGCTGCGCTAACTTCGTGTAAGCGGCTGTGTCATTGCATTTTGACAGTTATGTATATTGAGGTTGATGTTAGTATGTGTATGTTGAGGTTGAGGTTGCATAAGAAGTGTTAAATAGCGCGCGCGAAGCGCGTGTTTGTATAGTGCTAGTTGATAAAAAAAACAAGAAAAAAGAAAAAAAGAAAAGAATTAAAAATAGAGGATAAATGGATGCTCTCGCGTTTGCCAACATACTTCTTCGTTTTCTCGATTCATTATGATGCTACCGGGCCCACCCTCAAACTGGATGATTATCAGGCGTTTGGGAAGCAAATTACGTCATTTCAACGTCGTCTACCACCCTTCCGCTTCTCGCCGAAATGCGGGTTTCCTCCTATGATCCTGCATATATTACGATAACAATGTAACTCTAGTTCCTTTTTATTGATGCTCGAAGAATTACATTGAGATTACGTCATACAGAAAAACGCGCGAGACATCATGATATTACGTCATTATGAATATATACGAGCGAGTTTTCTGTCAATACGCGAATTGCCCCTCGAGAATAATTTATATATTTCGATATTTAATGAAATCCGTACAATACGGATTTATATCGCAAAATTTGTTATTATTTTAAATATATTTTATATTACATTCCGAAAAAGTATTTCTTTGAATTTATACTTCCTTTTTCTATAAATTGATAAGCATTTTTATTTCTATGATATATACGAGTATAGGGGAGATCGGGGCTGGTTGATACATGAGGCACTACGTTGATACATTTAAAATTGCTGCAAAATGACAAACGGTAATATTATATAAAAAATATAGTATTTCCGCAAAAACATTGCAGTCATGCTGCAATAAGATATTTTGCTGAATAGCATATTTTCAGAAATAAAAAA